CGCCTTCTGGTATTTTCATGTGCCTGGGAGATGTGCGGGCATGGGGGCCCATGTGCCCCATGCCATTTGAGTGCCCGGCGGCGGCGCTGCCTGCCGCCGGGAGCCCGCACCAGCATCGGCACCCGTCGGCCTGGCAGGCCTAAGCTGCTAAGGATCCCCACGTCCCCCACCACGTTGTGGGGGTTGCGTGTCCGGCAGGACGGGGAGCGGGGCCAGGGTGGGGTGACCCTGGGACGCTCAGCTGGGGGGAGGGTGGTCGGAGCCATGGAGAGGGTGCTCCATGGTCCACCCCCTCTCTTGATGCCCCTTGATCACGTGTGCCCCCTGCCCAAGGTCTGCTCACGCGGCCTATCATAGCGGGGTGACTGTAACACAGTACTGCTGGAGCAGGTTTAGCTGCCGCTGCAGCCCGGCCGCTGAGGTGGCCAGCAGGACCATGTCGTCGGCGTACAGCAGCGGCGGCACCGCGGCGCCGCCGCTGCCGAGGAAGCTGGGGAGGTCGAGCTGAATGAATGAATGAATGAATGAATGAATGAATGAATGAATGAATGAATGAATGAATGAATGAATGAATGAATGAATGAATGAATGAATGAATGAATGAATGAATGAATGAATGAATGAATGAATGAATGAATGAATGAATGAATGAATGAATGAATGAATGAATGAATGAATGAATGAATGAATGAATGAATGAATGAATGAATGAATGAATGAATGAATGGATGAATGAATGAATGAATGAATGAATGAATGAATGAATGGATGGATGGATGAATGCCATGCCATGCCGCCAGCTGGTGCACCTCACGTGGGCCGCGGCTAAGAAAGGCCTTCTTTGAGGGCGCTGGAGTGTCTAAACCCTCCGAGAGGGCACAGGTTCGATTCCTCCCATTTCGGCATAGCTGACCGGCTCAGCGCCAATCCAAGCCAATTCCTTCGGGAACGCCTAATAGAATCGCCAAGGCTTCGGCACAGGCCTCCCCGTGACCCATTCACTACTAGTGGGGGGTACTGCACTTGGCGCGTCGGGCAGATCAAATAATGGTCTAAAGCTAGACGTTACAACCGGGAAGTTAAGCCTGTGGATGCTCTTCCCCACCTTTACCTTTACCTTTACGTGAAGACCTTCTTCATCGTTGCCTTGATGCCCACCGCTTAGCCTGCATCGCACAGCAGTGCTGTGCCTGGCTCTGCCTGCACACAAAGCCATGCAACCCACACACTCAGAGATACTATCCAACGAGACCACATGCAAGTGCAACGGCGTGCGTCTTGGACACCGTTTGCCGAGTGTCCCGCAATGACGTCATTTTGCGGCCGCCATCAAGAGGATGTTGTAGGATGCCCAAGACAACGTGAGGATGATCTGGCCAGTCTCCAGAAAGGCATGCATTCATCATGCACCCATCATATTATGCACCCATGCATGTTCTCCAGTAACAATCTGGTGGAACTCTTACTGCACGTGTACAGCCACAGACGCACAAGAGTCCATCAGGAGTAGTTGTGTTCCCAGTGAGAAGCAACTTACAGACGTGCGTCACAATAGGATAAGGCTCAAAGAATAAAGGGGTAGATGGGGCCAACACAACGACTCTCCCCGTCATGCCGCCGCTATCGCCGCGGCAGCGGCTGCTGCTCCTGCCCCTCCGGCCGCCACGCCTCGCCGCCCGCAGCCGACAGCAGGCCCCGCCGCTCGCTGGGCGGCGCGGCGCCGCCGTTGGCGCTGCCGTTGGCGCCGCCATCTGGGGTGAGCGTGTCGGGCGCCAGGGCCTCCTCGTCGGCTGGCACATACATGGTGTACAGCATCTCCTGCACCGGAGGGGGGGCCAGGCAGGGAGCGGGCAGGTGTTCAGACGAGAGGGGGAGCGTGGCCCGGGAGGCAGCAAAGCATGTACGCACCGCTGCATGCATGCGGCACAGCAGGCACACAGCGCAACAAGCGGGTCGCAGGTTGGCAAGCAACACAGGTAAAGCTTTAGGGTGAAGGTGGGGAAAGAAGCTCCAGCACAGTCAGCCGGCAGGCGGGCAGCGCAACAAGCAGGCTTGGTCAGGCAGCACAGCCGGCCGCCCACCCACCTTGAACTCGTTGGGCGTGGTGCCCTCAAACCGCACCCAGCCCCGCCGCCGCGCAGCCTGCGTGTCCAGCGCACCAGGTGCGGCGCGTGTGGAGGCAGGGCAGCAGGCAGCAGGCACGGCCGTCGCCACAGCTGGAAAGAGCAGCAGGAAACGCACCCGCCACCCAGGCAGGTGGCTGTGCGGCTGGGCCCTAACCCTAAACCCAGCAGCCCCACCTGCAGCGCCGGGTGCAGCACGCAGCCCAGGGCCACGGTGGCAAAGGTGAAGGAGATGACGGCCAGGTCGCCCTGCGGCATGTGGGGGCGGTATGATTCGGCTGTGCAGGTTGATACTGTTTACCGTGGCACGGCCGCAGGGCAGGTGGGAAGCAGGGCAGGGTGGCTGGCTGGCAGGCAGGAGGCACCAGCAGCAGCATGCGCCAGGGACAGGCACGGAGGGCAGTGCATGCAGGTGGGCAGGTGGGATGGGCAAGCGAGGCGGGCCCGCTCACCAGCACCCATGGCACGATGAGCAGCCCTGCCAGCAGCAGGCAGGCGGGGACCAGCATGGCAATGCAGCCCCAGGTGGGCAACGGGATGCGGCACGGGCGGTGCAGGGTGGGATACCTGCGGGGGGAGCGGCGAGGAGGGTGCGTGCGTGTAACATGCTGGGTGAGTGGGCACACCATGCAGGCAGGCATGCGGCAGCAGGCGCCGCCGCCCCGGCCAGCAACACACCCCACTGCCAGCCCAACCCAAAACGCTTCCCAAGCAGCCTTCGTTGCAGGCTGACAGTCTACATGTAGCAAGAACAGCTGCAGCTGGGACGCCACGCAACCATGCGGTGCGCCCGGGCACTGCCTGGCACCCTGGCGCGTGGAGCCCGTGCCCCCACCTGATGCGCAGCCACACAAAGGCCACAAACTCCAGCAGCTGGCCCATGCAGTAAACGCAGTTGAGCAGCTCCACAATCTCCAGGAAGTCGAAGCTGCGGGGCGATACGGGCAGGGGGGGCGGTACAGGCAGTGGGTTGGCCACGATGCCAGCCGCGAGGACGACAGGAGCGGCAGGGCAGGCAGGGGTGCGGCTGGGCGCGGCGGCCACCCCGGCGCCGCAACACAGCGCCGCGGCTGGCCAGGCTGCAAGCGGGTTCTGCCACCTCGTTCCCTCTCCCGCACCATTCACACACATATGAAAAGAACCACAACTGACAGGCTACACACACACCACTGCAGGCACCAGGCTGGTCAGCCACTCCACACACCACACCCCCGTGCACACACACACACACACTCGCACCTGGCCATGCCCATCACCCCCACACTGCTGGCCATGATGGCATACACCGGGGTGCCGTGCTTGCTGCAGCAGGTGGCGCACGGCAGCGGTGGTGTGGACCGGGCATCGCGACCGCAAGCGCAAGGCGGCACCGCACACGACAGCTGCAGCGGCGCAGGCGTGAGCGGAAGCGCCCAAACCGGCAGCCTGCCGCCACGGCCGGCGGTGCTGCCTGCTACCTGCCACTTGGGCAGCAAGCTGCTGCCGGTGCCGCCGGGCGGCTCGCCTGCCATGCGACCCTGCAGCTGGCACATCGTCCCCACCCCACCACCACATGCGCCCACCCACACACCCCGCACCTGCGTGTGTTGAAGAAGGCGGGCAGGAAGCCGCGCTCGCTCATGCCCTGCAGCTGGTAGCTGTCGCTGGACATCTCCGCCTGCGGGTGTGTGCGGGTGTGGGTGTGGGTGGGTGTGGTGCATGGGTGCATGGGTATGGGTGACAGGGAGTGTGGGAGTGTGCGCGTGTGTGTGTTCTCTCAAGTCTGTGTGTGGTGGGCAGGACCCTTCCAGCGACCCCCCTTCTTCCATACACGCGTGCACAAACCACCAGCCCCCCCCCCCAGCCCACCTCGAACTGCCCGATCTGGCTGATGGCGGCCGCCGCCACGATCCACCAGGCCAGCCACTTGCCGCCCACCTGCGGCACGGCGCGCGGGGGTGGGCACAGCGGGGGAGGTGCCTGGGGGTTTAGGGTTTAGGGTTTAGGGTGCGGCAGGCTGCTGGCTGACCCCTCTCGCTGCCGCCCGCGCCACCACTCTCATCGCCACCCGCCACACTGGCCCAGCCCCCTGCACCGCCCACCACCACACACACACGCGCATACACACCCACATGAAAAGCACCTCCCAGCTCCTGCCCCACGGCCTGCCGCCACCTGCCGCCAGCTTGTCAACCCACCACCGCCACCACCACCGCCGCCCCCGCAACCGCCGCCCACCTTCTGCCCGACCGCCGCAAAGTATCCCAGCTCCCAGTCTGTGGAGGTGGCCGTCACGCCCAGCCCCACCAGCAGCGGCAGCAGGTAGGAGGCAACCACCAGCACCACCGCGCCTGCGTGGGGGGGATGGGGGGCACGTGAGTGTGTGTCTGTGTGTTTAACTAGTGTGTGCGTGTGCGCATGTGTGTAAGTGCGGGCATGCATGGGGGGTGCGTTGGAGGCGGGAGGGCAGGCGAGGCGCAGGCGGGCAGGCGGAACGAACAGGCAGGCTACTCAGCAATAGCACAGCGGTGGCGGCAGCGGTACGGCGGCGGTACGGCGGCCAGGGCGCACCCGCTAGCGCGCGGGGGAAGGTGCGAGACGGGTCCTTGACCTCCCCCGCCAGGCACGACACGGAGTCCCAGTAGTTGAGGTTCCTGCGGTACGGCGGTACGGCAACAGCACATCAACAGTACGAACGGCTGTTGCCTCGCGCCCGCCGCCCCGCCGCAGCAGCAAGGCCCGCACACCCACACACCCTCCCCGCACCCCCACCACACCACCACACACTAGTGCGCCGGCCCGCTGCCGCACCGCCACGCACCCCGGAAGCAACCGTTGGCACCAGACCCAAGCCCAACCAGCGCCCCCCCCGACCACCCCCACCACCCCCACCACCCACCCACCAGAACATGACGTTGAGGAACTGCAGCCACTGCACCGACCCCCAGTCCACCTCCAGCCAGTTGGAGGGGCGCACGTGGGGCAGGCCTGCGTTTGTGGGAGGGTGGGTGGGGAAGGCGGGGGTGGGGGGGGGGGGGGGGGGGGGTGGTGGGGGTTGGGTGTGGTGGTC